TTCCCGCAATTATACAAAATAGTAACTGCGTATGTCAGGTCCTGCAATCAATGTCAGTTAATAAATGATATTAATTACAGCCCGGCCGGGTACTTAAATAGCATTCGCGCTACATTTCCGAATGAAATTTTAGGCATAGATCTTCTTGGTCCCTTCCCCCAGAGCGAGTTAAATAAAAATCGTTTTCTTTTAGTAATAGTAGATCATTTTTCAAAATGGACAGAAATTGTTCCACTTAAACGCGCGTCAGCCAAAACAGTCGCAGATGCATTCTTACACAGATACATTTTAAAATACGGTGCACCGATAAAAGTCATTAGCGATAACGGAAAACAATTCATTAGTCAAATATTTGAAAACATATGCACTGGACTTGGCATACGCCATATCAAAATGGTTCCGTATAGACCACAGGCAAACATAGCAGAAAGAGTTAATAAAAACATTGTAAAAATAATTCGCAGTTACGTTAGCACACATCACAAGCGCTGGGATGGCTACATAAATGAATTAGCTTATGCTTTAAGAACGGCAAATCACGATACTACGGGAAAAACCCCAGCAGAATTATTTTTAGGCCGAAAGTTAATTACGCCTTTAGATAAATTATTCTTTGTGCAACAAAGAGAGCAAGAGTTTAAACAGAAAGATGTGCAAAAACTTATTGATCAGGCGCTTAAAAGCTCGGATACGGCAAGAAATAAGCAAAAAGTTATTATGATAGAAAACGCCGTGAAGCAGATTTTAAAGTTGGGGATAAAGTATTGAAGCGGAAATTTTCTTTATCAAGTGCCCCAGACAATTTTACTGCAAAGTTAGCTCCAAAATTTGAAGGCCCCTATGTAATTCAGGAAATCAAAGGAGTCGTATTGTACCTTAAGAACGAGAGAGGGGAAATCTGTAAAGCAAGTCCCGACCAGGTGAAAAAATACTATAATCCAAATGATTTTGAAATCCTTAAAAGTTTCTTGCAGGACTCAAGTCTAAACGAAGTAGAAGGTCCAGAGACTGCAACAACTATTCCACAACCCAAGAGACCTAGCCCTTCTACAACCCGGACGACGGTACCAAAAAGAAAAAATAAAAACTTTCAAACTCCAGCATTTAAGAAAAACAAGAATGCAGATGCACCGCGTAAAGAAACCGTGGTAAAGAGGAAAACACCACCTACAACGTATCGCAGGAGAAATTATACATCAAGGAGAACGCTCCCAGGGCCAGAGAGTCAGGTGCCAGCAAGGCCGCCGTTCCGGAAACTGAAACGGCAACAGGAGGAACGAAAATACCAGGAACAACAGAAGAAATTCAAGAAGGACTCCAGACCGGAGGACGTCAAGACCAGCCGTCCAATGGAAAAACGGAAACGACAACAACCCGACGATTATTCCTCCGCCAAGAGGCCAGCATGCAGAGGACGCAAAAGAAAAACTAATGTGGACGACACTCGGAGGTCAGTAAGGAGAAGATTGACGTCCATGAAACCTATAACTTGGGAACTCAAAGATAAGTTAAAATCTTCTATAAATTTTTTTTCTCTTTTGTTCCGAAATGTTATGCATAAGTACGAAGTTCTATGTTTTGACGAAAGTCAATATGTCTCGGTTGAGACTTAGTTTTGTTTTACTTTATTTAGCTAAGGCAAAAGTATTATTTTCTTTAAGTATAAAAGCTAAGAACAAGCATTTTCTGTTGGTCGAAAGACTAATTCTGTTATGTTAAAGCCAAAATTTGGCCGAAGATAAAAATAACTTCGTATTCTTGTATTAATAAGAATTTTAGTTTCAGTGCCGCCAGCTTGGCGAAGAATGAGTAAAGTAAAAATTTATTTTCTCTTATTCATTTTATGGTAAATTGTAAAAATCATATGTATTAAAATTTTGTAAATGTACGTAAATACTTGAATGTTATGTAAAAGTAGAATTTAGTCTAGAAGCATAAAATTTTAGATGCTAAAAGTAAATGCTCAAAAGCAATGAATTCAAAATTTAAGTATTAAACTGTAGATAAAGTCATGCTTTAGAGCGAAAGCCTGCATGTTTAAAGATGAATGAGGGGGAAGTTAGAATGAATGTGTGTTTTGTAGGGTTCTCCACCTACACTTGAATTTTTAAGAATGTTAAAGTAGCTCATCGAGTTGTAGAATGTCGAGTAAGGTGTGTCTATTTGGTCATTGAATTCTAACAAATCATGGTGGTTAGGGGAAGTGTTGTAAGACTAAAACACGAATATTCCCGTTTGACACCACACATGGTGGAGAGCCAGGGTAAAGTTAAATTAATGCTTGAAAAATTGAATGAATGTGAATTAAGCAATAACTAAGGAAAACGAATCGTTTAAAAACAAAAATTTATTTGTGTCAAGAAAGTGTAAATTATAATGTATTTAGAAAGATACTGATACTTATTCCTTCCAGATGCTGGAAGGAAAAGAACAAGATTGATTGATGAAGTCCAGGAAAAGTTGCTGTAAGAAGAGAGATTTAATAAGTATCAACAGAAATTTAGTATACAATTTGTTACATAAGATTTTTTTTTGTGTAAACGAGGCTCGAGAGTTAGTTCAGAATTATAGAAACTTACAACAGGTCGTTTGTAGGACCTGCTTCCAAGTTTTCCAAATTCTGGCAGCGGCAAATGTAGGGTTTATATTTATTTTAACTAACATTTATTTTAAGTTTAAACTATCTTTCCTGTCAAGCCTTACTTTCCCCTGGAACTGCCAATGCCAGAGTATGTAAATTTTAGTAGAACGCGCAAGGATTCAAATTATCAGCGGAAGTATTCTGAGTTAAATAGAAAGGAAACGAGTTCGAGGTGTGCTGTTCTTACTTCACGAGCGCGGAGGTAGTTAGCCAGAAATTGAAGAACCCCGCGTTTCGGCCTGTGTGCTTGCCTTGGAGAATTGTTAATCGTTCAATAAGGGATATTCAAAGTTTGCTGAATTAGCAGCGGTATTGTAAAACGCGGTGAGGTTAGTTACTTTTAGAGAGCCTCGTAGTTAGAGTCTTGTTATTAGTTTCTTTTCAGGTTCTTATTTTTATTTTACCGCCGAGTTGGCGTAGTTTGTGAGCGTCAAGAGCACGCAATTGTAATTTATTACGTTGAATAAAAAGGGACTTAAACCCTTACAAGACTCTGTCATTTATCCAGTTTCACAGTCACCTCTTGGTTGCGTGCAAGTTGGAGGCGCGCAACTCTACAAGTGAAGCAACCAAACATCTTAACCCTTTTACCAAGAATTTAAGAATGAAAATTAAAGCAGGTGTTTGAGCCCCCCATAATCTGTTCGAAAAGAACAAAGCCAACCTATCCATCACATGCCACGTATTGCTTCAACGCACTATACAGAACCGTTTTTTGATCGTTTGATTAGTGGAGCCAAAAAGTAAGTCCTATATGATAATCGAAAACTCAAAAGGCAGTTTTAATAGGGGTTACATAGGGTTTACATCCCGAAAAGGCGCTTCTGGGTGTTTGATGGAGTATTCGCGGAATTGTTCATTTTGAATTGCTGAAACCTGGAAAAATTGTTAATGTAGATCTTTATTGTGAACAATTGGATCTAGTGAACCAATCTTTAATCGAAAAATATCTGGCGATTGTCAACGGAAAAGGCATCATTCTGGAACACGACAATACAAGACCGCACTATGCAAGACGAACACTGGAAAAATATAATGAATTGGGATGGGAGGTTCTGCCTCACACGCCATATTTGCCCGATATCGCACTCTCGGATTTCCATTTATTCCGATCCCTACAAAATTTTCTTAGTGACAAAAAATTTGAAAATTTGGATGATGACCAAAATGCCATCTTGAGATATTTTACTCAAAAGCCAATTGATTTTTATCGGTCTGGGATTGAAATCGGCAGACTAGACGGCAAAAGGTTGCTGATAACAAGGTTGATTATACTATCGATTAAAAATAAAAACTTGTTACAGATTTATTTGTTTGAATTTAATGTAAGAAAGCGACATTACTTTCCGGTCCCGCTAATATAATTTATAGCTCAGCAGATTCTTTTGTTGCCACCAAAACATGAAAATTACAACAACATCGATAGTAAGGAATAAGAGAGCAGCAGAAACTTATATTCATAGCAATCTTGATGTTCTGCAATATTCTGATAATGCTATCTGCTGTATAAGACTTAGCATAGTTTTGTCAGAAGTGGACATTTTTGAATAGGACGAATATCCATTGATGAATCTCAATGGTTTAAGTTTTCTATGGCCAGAATTAGAATACAATTCACTTTTGATACAAAATTCAGTTTGACGTGCCATGCTTGATACTCAGCACACTTAATTTTGACAGCAGATGGCAACTAATTTTCACAATACTCACTAACTAGTAGCATGCACCATTTGTTTCGTGGTAAATTTATAATACCTTGTTCCTATTCTCTATCTGCATCTCATATTTGTTATAAAGTTAGAAGTTACTTTCTGTATCAAGCATATATACAGAAACTAAAATAGCTTGATAATTAAAAAAGAAATTAATGTCCTAAAAATTATAAGTTGATATAATATGTATACTTGACAATAATTCTAGCATTAAGTAAAAAAATGATCTTGGCAGTGACATATATTTCCTGATCACGTCACAGATGCTTCAAAATAAATATAAAAGAGATTAATATTACAGATGAATAGAAAAGAATGGATTTGGTTTAGCATTTGCTTGGTCTGTTGTTGTTCACTTACACTATGGCAAAGCAAACTAAACATTATGCAAAGGGGTGAATGCCTTCATGGAGGTCCTTCTAGGGGAAAATGGCTCATATCCACGTTGAACATGGTGAAAACCGTGAAAACGCCCATGCCAGGATTTGAACCCTAGTTTAACTGCCAGTGCACAGCAAATGCTCGGCTGCTATAGCAAGCAGGTTTAACATTTGCATCTTTTAGTATGTGCCAATGAGAAAAACTAAATTCAGATATATTATGCAAAATGTTACTGCAAAATACAGTAAATTATGAAAAACACTTACTGGTTTGAAGCCTCCTTTGCTAGTAATGTCAATTTTTGGAACAATTCCAATAAGATGAAAAACAAGTCCAGCTGACAGTTTTGCTTTGGTGTAATCAGGAAGATATGATGTCCACTGTCCTGCAGAGACAGCACTGAATGCCATGGCAAAAAATACTCTAATAAAATAAAGAACATTTTAAAGCCAAGCATACTATCTGCATTTTACTGTGCTGCTATAAGTAAATGAAACTGTTTTACAAAACAAATAACAACTGAAAATAGGCATAAAATTTTGAACATGTTAGGTTAGTACAATATGGGAAAGAGCATGAGTGATATTTGCCTAGCAGAAGGGATGCCTTTGTGGATGATTTTTCAAAGGAAACTCTATCATATTCACTTTGCAGATGGGTAAAATTATGAAAACCAGCCCGTTTGCTCCCAGCAAATCAAATGCTGGGAGATCAAACTCCCAGCATTCAGTGGCCTTAAACGCTTGGTGGGGCTAAAAACTTTGAACAGTTAATCTAATCAACATGCTAATTTGCATCAGTTTCTTTTCCAAAATTTCAATTCAGAAATCAGAATTCAAAAATTTTTAGAGCAAAAATGAAAATATTAAAAATCGATAAATTTTTAAGAAAACAAGCAACTTCCCCCCAAAAAGGCCATGATAATAAAATGAAATCGTAATTAGCATAAAAGTTTTCAAAACAAGACTGTTGAACAATAATAATCAAATTATTTTTCACACTGTAAAGGTAAAAAATTAACCTTAAGAGGCTCTTAAGTATTGCTGCTGTTGTAACTTATCAATCATTTATCCAAGTTGCCATTAATTATGGAACAGTTAAAAAAACTGAAAGGAAGTGGAAAAAAAACTACAAGATTAACTTTGATGGAATTTGAAGAAAATATAAATTACATTATCAATTATAAAATGATACTCCCCTAAGAAAAAATATTTAATAGAAGAATATTTTTCATCAAAAAATTAGCTTAAAAGCTTCTCCAAAAATAAGGTACGAAAATGCAATAATCCCTATTCAGTATCTGAATAGGGAGTGTGATTACCTTTTACAATAATGTTCTGTATTTTGAAGATGCCATTCAATTCAGCACAAGTTACTGACAAAGACTTCATTAAAGGGTAAGAGTTTTTCAGTGTGACTGACTGGCAGCTGAAGAACAGTAACACGTTCTTCTGCAATGTCTTACATATGAACAATCAGACTTTATGTTCAGAAATTAAATTGATCAAATAAATGCACACAATGGTCCCCTTTTACACTGTTGTTTCACTAATTGATTTCTGTCTAGGTGAAACATCTTTCCAGGTCTGTGCAGAGATACCAATAAAGATCCAGGACATACTCTACACTTCTGACCACAGAGTACTCGACACTTCTGACCATTTGTTCCAGTAATAATTACAAATGAATACATATATTTTAACTCTAATATGCTTGACCTCAAGGATCTGCTTGTACACCTTCATAAGAAAAGATCACACACAACAAAAGAAAAGCACAGACAGCCAAAAGTACTTGTATGGAAATGGGACTAGAACCTCACTTTCTTGGAAGCAATTAGTGGAGTAAACTATTCAGTCTTTTTTCAGAGTGAGTCATCATTGATGGACAAGGGGAGGATAGCTAGAAATGATAATAAATAAAGTATTTCAGATTTGGCAAACGGTATGAAACATTATTGTACTTCGGATGATCACAAAATAAAACAGACATTGTAAAATAAATTATTTCAAGCTATTGCAAATCAAAAGTAGGCAACAGGATGCAGTTACGTGAAGCTTTTCAATGTCACTATTAACAATTTGAAGCACAGCTACAGCTTTCAAATCAATGTTGTAATGACTTCATTCTATCTTCACAAACACACAAATGCTTAATAAAATGTGTTGTCATCGATTCCTTTCTTTACAGTGAGAATGGCACTGATTACACAGATTTGCAACTTTTCATGAGACAATAGCATAGTACATGTATAGCAATACTTTAGATAGTTCAGGTACTCGATTCTCCAATATTTCAGAGTGCTTCAAACAGGACTAATTGAGCAGACTTTAGCAATACTTTAGGTAGTTCAGGTACTCGATTCTCCAATATTTCAGAGTGCTTCAAACAGGACTAATTGAGGAACTAAATATGTTCAAAAAGAATGGTAACTGGTTTTAAAAAAATTTTCTCTCCCAGTTTTTCAGTATACCAAACATCACTAATAAATTCAAATGTCTTTATTTAAAATAATTTTTAAAAATGCATGTTTTTCATAATTGATTATTTATTCTGTAAAAATTGCAATATTGATTGATGTCTGCACATTTTTCTTCTTTGGCCTTTTCTTATCATGTATTTCTTATAACAACAAATTGCATTATTTATTGTTTATCAAATTGTAAGGTTACATTTAATATTAGGATTAACTTCCACAATATGCTCTGTCAAGATTCTAACCATTTCATTAATTTTGGCTAATTATTCAGCTGTTAATTCTCATGTTGGCACCTCAATTCAGTCATTATTATCCGAGTTGTTTTCCCATTCTTCGTTAAGTCCATTATTCAACTACATTAATAAGTGTGGCATTAGCTAGTGAACTGGAGTTTGATTTAATGCACTCTATAACATTGATGAAATGTAATGTACTGAAACAAAGTTACTGTCCAATTTCCGTTGTACTATTAATGACATCAGCAAAATTAGCTCCAAAACAAATGAAATCTTATGTACGATGTGGAGCCATATGTTTCTATACGGCCATCAAAAGGCTTACCATTTACTCATGCCATGCTTCATCTATTTTAAGTAACATTTTCAATATTGTAATACTTCCAAAATTCTGTTAAAGCAGGCACATTTTCTCCTGTTATAGCTTGGGAAAACGTCAGTGCAAATATAGGCCTTAAATCATGTGATGACATTTTAATCCCTTGGGTTAACCATAAAGTCATATATGATGAAAGAAATGTTATCTGTACATTTTCATTCAACTCACACACACCAAGTGAATTACCAGAGGGATTATCTAAAACCAAGAAAATTCTTAAAATATCCATTTTATTTGCAATAAAAGTCTATTGTAAGGCTAAAACAGTTGGTGAACCAGTCTTCAAATAAAACTGCGCTGATGCATTCTTCTAAAACACATTCGCTGCCATCTATGAGAATACTTGCAGTTGGCAAACTGAGCTTACTTGCCAACTAAGAGATAATGTGTTATTAATTGCCTTATCTAAATCACCGAGTATGAGTGCTGCTTTAAAAAGTGCATGCAATGTTTAGGTGTTTGAAGTACAGAAAGGGACTAAAAGTGCACCTGGTGTACTGAAATTTATAATTTATTTTTTAAAATGTAGATATAATAACTAAACGTTTGGAAAACAAAATCCTATTTTTTTCTTTCTTTTATTCACTTGGGAAATATTATAAACTGCCTGCTCAAATTTCTTGTTTACTGACTTGTGTAAGACTAATGGAAAATAACCTATTGCACATGCAGGAGTTTTGTGTGGATATGCAAATGGGTGAATATTGCTTATTTAGTTCCAGGTTTTCTCATAGTTGACACAGCAAAAGCACTATTTCAAATGCCAACGACAAGTACACCTGTGTGAATTTATTTAGTACTAAAAGTAATATGTTATACTGATATTTAAATATAAAACAGCATAAAATAATTTAAAAGCATAAACATGTAGATAGTATCCTGGTGCTTGTAAATAGATGCAGCAAATCAGCTTTGGCAGCATACATGTTAAATGACTACAACACCAGGGGACTGGAATATGTATCATATCATGTAACTTTAAAACCACATAAAAATAAGCAAAATAAACATAGACTTGATTATATAAGCATGAAAAATGCAACTGAAAAGATTTCAGTCTCGTGGAAGCGAGTAACATCAGTGAAAATAAAAGCAGTATGGAAGAAAATTCTGCTTTATTGCATAACTAATTTTGTTGTATGTAGTCAATAAATGGTCACACATGGTAATGAAATTTTGGCTCCTCACCATGAATTAGGTCTCATTGAAGTAGATTTGGCAAATGTGCATGAACTGATGAATTCACATCAAGAAAAGTTGGGCAATAGGAATCTCACTGATACCAATCAACAGTGAGCATATGACTTTGCTAATGCCACCCGATGAAAGAAAATTATAACCAGAGGTGAAAGAAGTTGGTTGTAGAAAATATTTTATACAACTGAAGAATTCAAAAGACAAATTACAGACTTGAAACCAAATCTGAAAAGACGTATTCAAATTTACCACATGATTGACAATACACTGAGTAGCAATAATGAAAAGTATAAAGAAAAAAGAAAACAAAAGGGTTCAAACTAATTTAGATTTTTTGTCAATATGTACACACATACATATATATATATACATATATGAAATTTTACATATTACTTCTTTTAATTTTATATAAACAGTTAAACAGAAAATACGCATATATATGTAAGATGAGAGAAATAGTGAGATAAAGTATAGTATTTTATACATTTGCATACTTAAACAATGCAAATTTATTTTAGAGAGCATTCCACACAGATCAACTAACTGTGTTAAATGAGAGATTTCTGCCCGTCCAGTAATATTTTACTGCGAATATGCACACTCATCATTGAAAAATGCACAAAGCTTTGGCATGAATTTGCTACAGCTAGTAAAAGCTCATAAAATACTTCCAATTTCTATTAGAATGGACTGTAGTAAAGTCCCTTTACACTCTAGTCTGTTTAGAAGTTAATCACATGTATTGATTTCTTGTACCGAAGTCTTAGCTCTAAGCCTCCTTCATTGAATGTGCAATATATGCTTAGACACCATTTCCCCAATCCATCAACAAAATCAGATATTAGAGGCTCATATTCAGTCAATATGCTGCATCTGAATGAGTATTGTATGCACGAGTAACATAACGATGATACTCCATGACAATTAATTCGGGAAATGATACAGATTTCTCCCTTGGAAAAAATGGCTATTTCAAAATTTTTTGTATATATTTAGGGCATGAAATAATAATTCATTTTAAATATCTCTTCTTACCTCGCTAATTAGGGCCAATTTACAAGTAAGGTCTTCAAATCTTACTCTCATTTCATATATATATGTGTGTGTGTGTGTGTGTGTGCGTGCGTGTGTG